TATATATATATATATATATATATATATATATATATATATATATATATATATATATATATATATATATATATATATATATATATATATTAGCCTATCCCTAAACAGAATCCCTAATTTCTAGGGATCCTCCTAGCCGTCGCCACCCACCTCGGGATCCCTTCCATCGATCCCACAGTCTCCTTCTCGGATCCAACGCCTCCTCCTACCTTCTCCTCCTCGTTTCCGGCAGCAACCCAACCAGCACTCGAGGCCTCCCCTCAATCCAAATCCTCCCCGACCCTCTCCCTCGTTTTGCGTGCTTGACCAATCGGTCGCCCGAGCCCCGTGCTCCTCCATCCCACCTCGTCGGCTGACGACCGGCACCATCGCCAACGACCACGAGTTAAGCGCCCGCGCCCTGTCTCCTTTTCCGCCCCATGCTTCTCTCTCTCTCACATCTCCCGGTCTCATTTTCTCCAGGGAACGGAAGGAAGCCGCGATGGCCTGGGCTCGACCTCAAGATCCCATCGTCACCGTCGTCTACAGCTACTGCCCCGCGGTTTTGCCTGCTGGTCGCCCGGCAGCCCTCGCCGGAGCCTCCATGGATGCCAAGCCGCCAAGCCTCCCGAGCTCCTCGACCACAGCATCACACACCCAAACCCTGCGCTTGTCCTCGCAACCAGCTGCGCCGCCGAAGAGCACCGTCAGCAGGTCCCTCTGCCGTTCCCCTCCTTCTCCTTCCTCCCTCCATCCCCTTCTCTGGTTCCTCAAGCTCTCTCTGTGTCTCTCTCATAGGAACCCCGCCGTGGATGCAAACTTCAAGCCACCACTGCTGCCACTCGAGAGCCATGCGCCAAATTCCCGCGCCGTCGGAGCCCGGCTTCGCACCATCTTCCTGTCGATCGCGAACTTGCGCTTGAGTTTTTCCTCTGTGGGCGCCGTCTGCATCACCCCTCGCTTCCCCCGCTCGCCCGACTGCGTGCGTTGACCACGCCCTGCTGCGTCTTGCCTCGATCTAGAGTTGGCCAAGCACCGCGCCCGTCAACCTCCAGATCCATCGGGTGGGCCACACCGCTGCAGGCCCAGCGGCGCCATATCCGCCAGCCCAAGCCGGCCTGCTGCACTGACCGGGCCAGGCCCATGGTGAGCGCCCCAGCGCCCAGCAGTTTCGGCCCGTGTCTTGTTTTTTTAGATCTGCGTTTCAGCTTTTTCCAGAGTTTGTCAGTTTTACAAAAAATCCCTTGAACTTCATGCATATCTTAATTCACAAACTAAGCATCACATGTAAAAACTTTATATATGAAAATGCTTAAAATTGCGTCTAGTTTCATAATATGTGACTTTCACCCATGTTTAAAATGTTTAAATTTCTGTTTGTGTAGATTTACTCTTATGCCATGTTAAAATGCTTTAATTCATAACTTAATAACCGTAGCTCCAAACCTAACAAAATTTATATGTAAATTGGGTAGAAAAATGCCTAGTTTAACATGGTGGCATTACTTTGCATGTTTAGCAACTCTAAAATATGGTTTAGGGCAGAACAGTACCGAATCCAATATATGCTCATGAGGAGTTTCTGGACTTGTTGTTTGTTCTTCCGGCCTCATTTAAACTTGCCTAGATAGGTAGTGTTCATATGTTTCACCCTTGCCATGTTAAACAACATTTAATATTGTTCGGTACATAAACGAGATCGAACTAAATGACTTGAATGTGGTGTTCCGTCAATATGCAACTCGTTGCATATTGAGCTTCACTTAATTTGTAGGATTGTTTTGTGATTTTTTCCATGCCATGTTTCATTAAACCGGACATGCATCATACTTGGTTGTGCATCATCCCATGTTTATGTGATGGTTGTTTACTATGTTGTTTGCTTCTTTCCAGGTTGCTTCTCGCGTTAGCTTCGGTTTCGTTCCAGAGTTGTGAGGATCCGTTCATCTACGTCCGTTTGTCTTCTTCATGGACTCGTTCTTCTTCCTTGCGGGATCTCAGGCAAGATGACCATACCCTCGAAATCACTTCTATCTTTGCTTGCTAGTTGCTCGCTCTTTCTGCTATGCCGCGATACCTACCACTTGCTTTATCATGCCTCCCATATTGCCATGTCAAGCCTCTAACCCACCTTTCCTAGCAAACCGTTGTTTGGCTATGTTACCGCTTTGCTTAGCCCCTCTTATAGCGTTGCTAGTTGCAGGTGAAGATGGAGTTTGTTCCATGTTGGAACATGGATATGTTGGGATATCACAATATATATTATTTAATTAATGCATCTATATACTTGGTAAAGGGTGGAAGGGTCGGCCTTATTCCTGGTGTTTTGTTCCACTCTTGCCGCCCTAGTTTTCGTCATACCGGTGTTATGTTCCTTGATTTTGCGCTCCTTACACGGTTGGGTCTTATGGGGACCCCTTGAAAGTTCACTTTGAATAAAACTCCTCCAGGAAGGCCCAACCTTGGTTTTACCATTTTCCTCACCACCACCTACTTTTCCCTTGGGAGTCGCGCTCCCAAGGGTCATCTTTATTTTAAGCCCCTCCGGGCCAGTGCTTGTCTAAGTGTTGGTCCGAACTAGAGTCCTTTGCAGCACCACATCGGGGAAACTTGAGGGTTGGTTTTAGTTGTATAGAGCGCTCATCCGGTGTTGCCCTGAGAACGAGATATGTGCAGCTCCTATTGGGATGTCGGTGCATCGGGCGGTCTTGCTGGTCTTGTTTTACAATTGTCGAAATGTCTTGTAACCGGGATTCCGAGTCTGATCGGATCTCCCTGGGAGAAGGAATATCCTTCGTTGACCGTGAGAGCTTGTGATGGGCTAAGTTGGGACACCCCTATAGGGTTTGAGCTTTCAAAAGCCATGCCCACGGTTATGGGCAGATGGGATTTTGTTAATGTCCGGTTGTAGAGAACTTGACACTTAACTTAATTAAAATGCATCAACCGCGTGTGTAGCCGTGATGGTC